TTATCGAATAATAATTTAGTAACAGCAAAAATTGGGCTATTGCCAAGAGTATATTTAGAATGAATATTTGTTTTACGTGTAAAAGTCATATGAAAGCATTTTGAGATATTCAAGTATAATTTATTGATAAATACAATATTGCTTAAACCACATGTAAAATTTTTCAAAAATTTTAAGTCATCAGCGAATAAAACAATTCTGGAATTTAAAAAGCAGTCACTGATGTCGTTAATAATGGTTGTGAATAAAAGGGGTCCCAAAATTTAACTTTGCAGTACGCCAGAAGGAACATGGCTCTATTTAGATATGTACCCTCGAACAACAACGGCTTGTCTCCTATTATCAATATATGAACTAAACCAACGATATGAACAAAGCGAACGACAAAAGTCTCCTTGAATACCAGCAGGTGCTAATTTAATCATCAGTACGCAGTAGTCAATACGATCAAAACATTTTCGATAGTATGTATAAATAAGAACGACTAGAGTTGAGTTATTCATACCCTCCGCCATAAAGTCATTAGCTAGTATGAGATAAGATATTGTTGAACGCCCAATTAAACAGCCATGCTGTCTATAGGTAATTGAAAGTGCATTTGATTGTAGCATATATTTGGTGGTGTATTATTCTTTTTAAACCCTTGTCGATAAGACATAGTTTTGAGATAACACATTTCCAATTTGTCACATTTTTTATGCACAGTGGAGATAAGCAAAAGGTTCATTTCAATTATTCATAAATGTCTAAAATGTAGGTACTTATATTTCTGTTGTTTTTAAAAGGTTAAGTTAAATCCTTAGATTACGCAATGTGAGTTTTAATAATCCTTCCATAACATCCTTCTTAGAAGTTTTCCGAACTTGGTTATGGACGGAAAACGGAAGGATTAAGAGAAGTAGTAGGTCACAGTGAATTTTCCGCATGGGAAAATATCAGAGCCTTACCGAAGATTAGATAAAGCTACATAATAGCTGTTAGTGAGTAAGATGGTCAATTGCTTTTTGAGGTTAGTGGTCAGAGAAACGCACGAGTGATACTAAATAGTACCATTACATTGGTCACGGTGACCGCTCGACACAATCTCCCTCTGTTTATATATTTATCACACAAATAAAAAACCAGAAGGAGCGTGTTTTTTTATCGCTTCTTTGAGTGACATAGTATGGCATTTGACACACAATAATAATTCCTTATGAACACTTACATAGTTTAGAGTTTATTACACTCACATTCGAATTTCTGACCCACAAAAACGTCAACATTAGGTAATGATGTATGATTAAGGGGGATTTATCTTTTGTAAGTAAACACGATTTGTACATTAATCTATTGAATTGGGTACAAATGTAACCTTTCAATATTTGATAAGTTGGACTTTGTCCGGGACTTTAATGAAAGTAGCGTACTCGTTAATGACGATGGAATAATATGAAGTTTACTTTTTAAATATTTTCTTGTTGTTCATTGGTGGTGTTTTATAAGTCATACTAGCGGCCGCCCGTGACTTGTCCGCATTAACTTGAGGGTTTTTGAAAATCCTTCAGGAACCTGAAACTTTTCCGGGATATTTTTTTTTATCCGTGCGGTGACTGAGAAAGAATACTACTCACCGCCGCTTCTCTTTCCGTGGGTGCCGTAAGAAGCGACTTAGGGATATCGGAGCTTCCATCCGTTTTTCTGGTGACAGGGGGCCTAACACCCGCATGGTTTGTTACCACCATGCGCATGGTTAAAAACCAGCGAAGCGGTGCTTCCTGTGTGTTTCAGGGTCAGTCAGCGTACAACCAGAGCTTGAGTGGGGATTGCCGCGACAGATTCGTTCCAGGGGAGCCATTCGTCGAACCGATGCTGGGAGGACTGGATCGACCCGCTGGCCAAGGAGACCCGTAGAAACGGCTGTCCCACTGGCCACACTGGCTGGTACAGTAATACCACGGGCGGGTCCTCTACTCAGGGGCCCGAGCGTTCCTAATCAGTTCGCGAGGATGGCCCATTATATCACACATAATCTCGGGGTGGACGTCTTTCCGGTTGATAACTTGGGCGTGGGGTCGCGGTGGCCACTCCCGGGGGGAGGTCCAATCATTTCACGTCCAGCCCTCACTGCCACCTCTGATATGCCCAGACGGAACACTAGCTTATAAGCCACAGGAGAAAGCCGATTTACTGGCAAAACTCTTTGCGGCTAACTCCCGAATCGATGATTGCAATGCACTGCCACCATCATTGAAATAACGTTGCCTGATATTAAAATCAGATAGCATGAGGTTCGCACTGAATTGCAATTCCGGAAGCTAGTGAACCTGATGGCATCCCAGCAGTTGTACTTAAAAAATGTGCAGCAGATTTGTCTCCCGTGCTCACGCGTTTGTACCACAGCTCGTACTCTTTGGGGCATGTGCCGGAGATTTTGAGAGATGCCAACGTGAAACTAGTGCCCAAAAAAGGGGATCGCTCAGACTCGGCCAACTATAAAACTCGGTATAAAAAAAGTAATACACTACTATGGCAAATGTTCTCAGAAACTGCAAATTAATAATGAAAAAACTCCAATCCGAAAAATTGATTTGAATCATTATGTATAATTTTGAACTATTTATTAAAATTTACACTTTAATTACTCGAAAAACGTAAGATTTCATGTTATATTGATAAACATAAAAATTACAAATCCATAAAACATGCAAAAATAGTTGTTGTAAGTAGGTATTAAAAATAGGATTTTCGGATTCGAGTTTTTTTCATTATTAATTTTCATTTTCTGAGAACATTTATCATAGTAGTGTATATTTTTTTATACCATCAGAAAGTAGAGATTTCAACAAACAAAAAACACCCCAACTTTTTTAAAAAAGCAGATATTTTGACGTGAGAATTTTCGATTGAAAATAAGGGTGCTTTTTTGATATTAAGTCAAAATAAGGTGAAAAAATGAATATTTTAAATCAGAAAAATTACTGTATGTTTGGGACATACAAAGGTAAGTTTTCACCAAATTTTGTGAAAAAATATTTTTTTTTGCAAAAAATAAAAATCAAAAACCAAAAACTCTGTTATTCGCATTTTTCACATAAATTTTGAGGTTATGTGAAAAAAGTGTCGATACAAAAGTTGTAGATCTTTTTATTACCTACAACTTTGCCATTTAACTTTTTTTCATAGGACTTGCAGTTTTACCGGAAATCGAGATTAACCATTTTTTACCCTTAAAAACTCACCCTCTTCCCCTTCGCGACCTCAGATCGCCCGTAATTTATTTTTCCTTTCATTTTTGTTATATTCTCTACCTTTTCTAATGGATTTCATCCTACTATAATTTTTTTTCACTTTTCACCATTTTTAAAATTATTGACCCTGGTCTATAACGCGAACGCGTTCTCGAAGATATGTCCGCCCCGATAATACATACGACTTTAAACTTGGAAGTAGGAGCTTCCAAGGCCGGAGCCATGTCGACGCTTGTGGCTCCATCTATTGCACAAGAAGGAAAACGACGAATACGAAACGTAACGGGTGAAAGACGCCGGTGAAAGAAGCCGCGAAGAAGACCCGCGCATTCAAATCTTATACGGCGCACAATACGCATACAATTTTCTATTATTCATTTTATTGTAATTTATACTTAATTAAATGTCTTATTTAAGTATACGAATACCTCATTAGATAGGAGACCTGACTGTCCCACACACCTTCCCTCCAAGCTTCCGGCATACGGTCTGCCGGCCCAGTTTTGTTCCTGGGTAGCTGACTTCCTACATGAGGAATTTTAATGTCAGCGAATGCCGGCGTTCCTCAGGGTTCCGTTCTATCCCACTCTATTTCTGTTGCATATCAATAACTTAATTCCTCTTGGGAATATATGTTGCACGCATGCAGGCAATAGTACAGTGAATGCCGGGTATCTCTTACAAGCAGCGGTTGGACAGGCGGTAACCTAGGATAAACGGGAGAATCTTGTCATTGAACTCAATCGGGCTTTGAACCACATTTTTGAATGGGGTACCAAGAACTTAGTTGAATTCAATGCTAAGAAAACCCAGGTCTGCGCTTTCACGGCAAAAATGTCGCCATTCCTTTGATGTCCTTCTCTTCAGGGCATAACACTGGAGCTAGAGAGTAATATCACCATGCTCGGTATGGAAATTCGCTGTGACTTAAATCCAAAAACTTCGTGGTAAAAACGGCCTCACGCAAACTCGGAATCCTGAACAAGGTTCGGCGTTTTTTCACGCCCGACCATCTGTGCTTGTTGTATAAGACACAGGTGTGGTCTTGCGTGGAATATTGCTCGTACCTTTGGGATGGCTCCGCCAAGTACTTGCTCGATGCTTTGGAAAGGTTACAGCGGTGCGCGATCCGCATCGTAGACGATGAGGCGGTGACTAAACCTCGTGACTAACCTAGAGCCTCTTCAATTACGCCGTGACGTGGCATCACTAAGCGCGTTCTATCGTCGGTACCACGGCGAGTGTTCTGAGGAGTTACTCTCTCTTATTCCACGTTCCCCATTTTTTTCAGAGGACTACGGGCACTAGCTTTTGTTGTCATAGTGTAACTGTGATACGCGCGTACAAAGAAATTTAGTGACTCATTTTTTTGTCGCACTATCCGTAAATGGAGTGCTCTGCCTGCTCACGTGATCTCTCCATCTTACAACCTGGGATCCTTAAAAAGAGGAGTGAAGAAGCAACATGCAGGCCGGCAAGGTGAGGATGGCTGGTGTGGCAGGTAGAACTGCTGTACCAGCTATCTTCACGTCTGGACTTCACCGTCACTTGACATCAGGTGGGCTGCAGTTATTTGTCGGACCTATATATTAAAAAAAAGATTGAATTTTTCAAAATATTTTCAAATATTTTTAATTAATTTCCATTCCAGTTCCATCCTTGCATTAATTTCCATTGTATTTATTAAGATTTTGATAAGTGAGTCTTTTTAAGAATAAAAGGGCCGCAGCTAGCATTCATATAAAAATACCTGTATGCTGTAGAGGGCACTTTCATAGAGCACGTCGAAGATGAGGAAGAGAGACAGCAGCATGACGGAGAGGAGGGCCGCGGTTAGCATCCATAGTACCTGTATGCTGTAGAGGGCGCTGTCATAGAGAACGTGGAAGGTGAGGAAGAGCGACAGCAGTGTGACGGAGAGGAGGGCCGCGGCTAGCTTCGGCCGCGACACTCCCACCACCAGCACGCAGTCCGCCAACTCGCCCTCTGCCGGCCGGAACGAGGAACGAGGCAACCATCTACACAGTAAAGTAAGAAAGTTAGCAAAATTATAGCCAGCTGTAAGGTACAACTGGGAAGTTAAGGGTGAGAAACATGAAACGATCGTGTGGCTAATAGTTTATATCTCTAGGTATTGGCTGTACTTAGGTTGTACCATTTGTTCTCTCTTTCTAGACAGTTGACAATACATTTCAACACCGACTGTTTCTCAGTCTATGGTTGTTACAAGGAGTAGGTACCGGCTGCTTAAGGATATCGTGGTTTGAAAACTCTCCGGTATCTATTTGTTCCGTATTGCAGTTTAATAGCATGCATGATCTGCAACCTCACAACGTTGCGTCTTTAAATTATTACCTACATAGTTGAAGAGCCTGTAAGTGTACATAATATCTACCAACAGCCATTCTGGCAACCGATGACATTAAGTCATCATTAAGAAAGTCTTATAAAAATGCTCTGAAAAGCTACTCTATGTTAATGTTGTTTATACTCACAGAATATCGAGAGGCAGGGATTGAGAACAGCTCCTATAGGTGCCCTCGGGGCGATGCTTGAGGGGCGGGGCGTGACTCATCTGCGCGCGCGCCTCCATACAGCTCCCATCGACCTCCTAGCAGCTAGTGAATCCACATCACATCACAGTCATTGCTTATGTACTGGTAAATGTAAACAAGGCTTTCTTTCACTAAGTCCTTCTAAACGAACCTGTAATAAATATATGTTTTAATAAATAGAAATCAGATCAGCCAAGCAATATGGAATTATTATAATTATAGTTATAAAGTTTACCATATTATTTGTTCTTGCGACACTTCTCCTGCACCTGTGGACAAAGAAAAATTGTTTTGAGACTTTGAATCTTAATACGTTCAATTTGTTTTATCTCTTACTATAACAAATCCCAAAGTGTAAGTTTTTCATCATATTCATGAAAAACAAATGCCATATTTTATTATTTGATTGTATGTCGGAACACTTGAAAACAGACTAATGAGTGGAAAAGGTTTTAAAGAAAATTTTAAGGGAAAATAAAAAAAAATCTTATCCTTTTAAATTTACCGTTAATATTCCCATAAAAATACAAAATCACCCATGCGAAATCAAATTGGGCTGGTAGTTTGTAGTAATAAAAGTTCGTATCTCCCCCGTTGATTATGTAACCATGTCAAATAGAAATGTAATTTATTCAGACGATAATGATTTCGATCCGAAGACGGTATTTCCACAAAGTTTAATAAAACACGAAGCACGCACGAAAATCATATTTGTTAAAATCAGTCTTCGGTCGATCGTATAATTCAGAAGTTGCGCAATTGACATGTTCCTACTGCTTAAATGTTTCAAATTAGGTAAAAAAAATATTTAGTAACTAGCGGCCGTATGCGAATCATTCCGTGTTAACTTTAGTTTTTTTGAAAATCTTTCAGCAATATTTGTTTCTTAGGTTTCCACGCACATCACTCATTAAATAAAAAAAAGTTTCAACGGGTCAGATGCACTGTTTTTATTTATTTATTGACGTTTCGCACCCTTGGCAGGAATGCGTCGTCTGAATAATGATTTTTTATTTATTTTTAAACGTCAATAAATAAATAAAATCAGTGCATCTATCCCGTTGATCTTTCAGAAACCTATTTTTTTGGGATATAAAGTAAGTAAGTAGGTATTAGCTGTCTGTGTGACAAATTTCATCGAAATCGTTTTTGCTTGATCAAATAAAAAACATGATACTTTTTTTACGTCTATAGTAAGTAATATTTCTAATTATAAATAATTTACTATTATAATATTATAAAGCATATTTTGAATAGTTTGTTTATTTCATTGAACTCATAAACTACTGTTCGATTTGAAAAAATAATTTTGTGTAGGATAGTGGATTTATCGAGGAAGGCTATATAACATAAAGATACGATCAACAGAAGAAGAGCACCAATAAAAAATGTTGCAAAAACGGATAAAAAAAACATGTGAAAGCTTCCGTTGGGTGGAAAAATCGTGTATAATGGAACTGTTCACCTTTAAAAGTAATAATATGCCTATATTTTAAGAGAGTTCCGCTGTATTATTTTTTCCTCAAATTAATGCGCATGAAACCGAAGAGCACCTCTAATTTTTAATAAAATTTGTTACTATAAAACAATTTGACTGTAAAAGTAAAAAATCGAAGAAAAAGCAAAGGAGTAATTTTTGCCAGCTCCAATTGAAGCTAGTACTTGCAGCTGCGTATTTCACTGGGCTTTACGAGTTCGTGATGGAATAAGTTCACTTTACACATTTTCACCTTTGTTGTGCTATATACAGGTCACACACGGACCTAGTTATTCGCTATATAAAGGATAGCGAGCTCCACTTGTGTGGTCCAACTATCGTAGTTTGAATCGCCACAAAGTAATTTAAGAATCAAACTTGTTGGATACCCTCTAGCCCACCTCGATTAAGGGTTTCAGCGGCGTTATTTCATTTTTTTACTACATATTTAGCCGGAGATTTTGATAAATTACGAAAGTATTAAAGTAAGTACTTAATACTTTGGACGTGGCAGAATAAAACTCATAACTTTGACTAGTAACGAGTTAAAAATATACTTATTTTTTACTAGTGATGTTACGGTCTTGAATTTTGACAAACCGGATTTGATCGGTTAGTAATACATGCAAATCGGTTTCCGAACCGAACCGCCAAATTTTTAGTAAACCGCGGTTTGAACCGGTTTGAACCGTTAGACGAGTTGACGAATGAACTTACGAAACAACAGGTGCTATTTTTTTTAATTCTACATATTTTGTTGATATTACATCGTGCAAATATTTAAAGGTAATTGAAAAATAACAATTAAAATATGAAAACAAATAAAAATAATCAGAATTAAAAATGTCAAAATAAAAATAAACAAATATCTATGTAATACCGTGTTTAAAAAAATACAAAAAAATATATAAACTCTATTAATAACATAAAACCGTACTTCTTAACTTTGAGAATAAAATACAATTTTAATAATCAATAATATAATAAATACGTAACTAATTTTTGTAAAATCATTTGAGTCGTAGAAACTTAATTTGGTACAAACAACTTAATTAAAAAGTTTTCATACGACTATTTAGGAATAATATTTGGTCTATTTTTTTTAGAAGCTGGGCAATTACGTCGCATATTACATAATAATGAAAACAAAATTACACCGTCAAGTCAGTGAAATCTACCAGAGTCCGTTTCATTTCGGTTCGGTCGGTAAGTCGGTTATGGCTGTTGTATTTAAATTGACGATGCGCGCTAACCGTATCCGCTGCTGTAAGTCGGTTCGTATTGGTCGGTCAAGTTTTATTAGGGTCGGTAAAGCACGTCAGGAGCCGCACGCGATTTGTGGATGGCGGCATAAACAAGAATTGACAGGCGCGCATGCGCGCAGCGCGATACGAACGAATGCCACGGTAGAACCGGTTTACGAAGACGTTAACCGATTCAACTCGGTCCATGCTCAAACCGGTTTGAACCGGTTTGAAAAGTCGAGTCGTTACATCTCTATTTTTTACCCGGCTGCGCAATGCAAGAGCGCGAAGCGCGACGCGCAGACAGGGTTATGTGTTTAACAGTCTATATATGTATGTTTGTTCCTTTGTTACCCGGCTGCGCAATGCAAGAGCGCGAAGCGCGACGCGCAGACAGGGTTATGTGTTTAACAGTCTATATATGTATGTTTGTTCCTTTGTGGCACACTAGAGACCAAACGCCTGGACCGATTTTGATGATTTATACATCAATCGATTCGTCTCAATCATGGGAGTGCTACTAAAGATATGATAGTAATCAAAATTCAATATGGCTAAAATTAGGCGCCATATTGTGACGAGGTAAAAAAAATAAGTTGACAAAATATGTCGAGTGGGGTATCACTGTCTAGATAATCAAAAATCATATTTAGGTTCCTAACACCATTTTTCATTTAATATGATTGTTTAGGATCTACAACGCTTTAAAGTTGTATATTAACCACTTACGCTTTTAATTTCAATCTTACATTTGTATTTCACCTAAAAAATACTGAATGGATTTTAATGAAACTTAACAGTAATATAGCTCATATATGATAATTACATATATATAATAATTTATGTAGTTATTGAGTGAATTAGCCAATATATAACAATAAGTGTCACATAAGACGGAAAAAAATCTCCCATCTGCGAGCCATTTTGGCCTGCACTGCGAAAACTATAAGTGTTACATGAATGTAATGTAGAGTGAAAATGTATCTCTTAAATAGTTCTAAAAAAAGTCCGTGGCACCATATATCTATTTTTAATGTGTAAGTCATTACCGCTAAAATAGTGAATCAAAACTAAAATATTATTTGATATCTATTTCCAAAATGCACATTTTGTATTAACAAATCATTTTTTATCAAAGTAATACTTTTATCGCTTTTGATATTTAAAGACGATAAACTTTGCTTTTTACACTATGTCATTTCGACAAATATTTAAAAAGTTACAACGATAGCGCGGTGTACTATGTAAAAGAAAAAAACGGGGTATTCGCAGTATCTGATCCTATACGAAGCACTAACAATAAAACTGTGATACAGTTCCTTCTTATTAAATGATGAAAAATATATTATCATAACAGGTATTTATGATTATTAAATTTTAATGAAAAACTCAGAATTTTACTGTTTTTCATTTTTTTAACGATATTACTTAATTTTGTAATAAAATATACAAAAAAGGTTTACTTAATATAATGACAAATAACCCATTTCTCGCTAGTAAGTACATAAGTATGTACTCCAATAAGTATTGGAATCCCTATATTATTAATCAGCTCGCGATAATATTGGTTTTGTAGTAATTCTACAAAAATCAAAGTAAATAATGTAGATTTTTATAGGTAAATCACCCCTTTCATCACCCTACGCCAATAAGTATTGCCATGTTGTAGCTAAGGACCAAGTTCCCATCTACTTCTATATCGGAATTCATTATATTCGATTTAGCTATTAGGGCACGGAAGCGCAACAAACAAACTCACTTTCACATCTATAATATTATATTATACTTACTAGTGATCCACCCGGGCATTGTACGGGCGAAATTTATTTATCGGGATGAAATATAGCCTATGTCACTCGGACAAAATGTATTTAAATAAAGAAAAATGTAATAATAAATAATGTAGCTACCTTATGATAAATTTATTTGATGGTTTATTTGATTATAATTGTAAAAGTTACTTAGCATTTGTGCTTAACAGTGATACATTATTCGGTATTTTTTTAAACAAAAAAAAAATTTGGAAAATAATTGCCATGATTGCCCTACTGGGAGTACTCTACATTCAAGCTTTACACTACCAATAAAAAAGGGTCGATCATAAATTCTTTGACCTGTTTTAAGTGAACGCTTTAAAGAAAACTACAAAGAGAACTATAAATTGATAATAAATGAGATTGCTATGGTGCTCTACCTAATTATTATGCGCCTTTAGTTTAATCAAATATTATAAACTTTGCTTTGGTGATTGCATAATTATTTAATTTAGTGATCTAAGGCAGTTGCCACCATTGTCCAAAACAACAAACGGTAATTA